ATGAATAAAAAAAAAAGTTGAATTATGCCAATAAAGTTAAACTAAACAGAAATTGAAAATGATCATATATAATATTAATATAAGTATTTAGGCACAATGATTCAATGTGGAGATACATTTATGATTTCTAAAATAGAAAAAAAATTAGACAAGTTGAAATTGGTATAAATTTCAAAGAGAGAATTTTTATTTACCATATTTATATTAAACCAAATTTCTTCTATTGAACAAATACTAACATTAATTTTTATAGTATAAGAGATAATTAAGTAGACATTTAAGAGTAATTAGAATATTAGATAGCATTTATTAATTTAAGAGTGCATGTAAGAGACTTACATTATTCTTTATATGTCGATAGTAGTAGGAAAATAATAAAATGGCTAATGATTCGATTAGATAAGAAAAGGAATAAAATTTATTTTTAATTATATAGACTTAATCAAAATTTTACTCTCTTCCGTTTAAAATACTGATAGACTTATAAAACATTTGAGGTAATTTTGCAGAGAATAGATGAGGAAGTAAAAGATATTTTATTTTTGTTACTTTCTATTATTATAGTTTGAAAATTGGTCATTATACTTAGTATTGAGTTAGTTCATCATATTAAAGAAAAGAGTAAATCTAGTAACAATTAAAATTTAATTTTATATTCAAACTATATCTCTCTTTATAATTTTCATCTAAATTCTTACAAAATATAACGTATTTTACTAATTTTAAGCAGTTTAATTTAACATTATCAATCTAATGTATACTTTAATTCTACAATTATAGCTAAAATGAACATAACAAAACTCTGAATTTGATTTTTATTAATGAAATAATAAGAATCAGTATAAAATTTCTTATAAACCAAATTGGATTGTTAATTAAATATAATTTTTGAGATAAATTATGAAAATCATATGCTCTGTTATCATATGTTATAAAATGATATGTAAGAGGAAAAATTTAACATATAAGATAATATATTACTAAATTAATATTATTTTTATAATGACATTATTAAATACCGATCATTATTTAATGTTAGACTAATTATTGAAGACATATTTTAATCCGTATTTATTTGATTTCATTAAATAGTTGATAGTTTATTGAAACTAATCTTAGGATTATTTCATATTATTGGTAAACTATTTCTAGCTTAATAAATTAATTCATGTCAAGATTAACTATATAAAGTTAAAGTTGGTTAAATTTAAAAATTGAGTATTTGAATACTAAATTTACCCTTAAAAATAATTTTCAAATAAATCTCCAGGGCAATAAGATGCTTTTGGTTCCATCCATTAATTGTAATTTGGCGAGTAGAAAAACTTACAATATCAGATTAGAATATCTCGTATCAGAGTATTTTTAATTTTCATAAATTGTAAGTTTCTTTGCATCTCTTGATTTAATCGACTTTATCTGATGAATAAATGAATATTTTTACTGGTCGAATGAGTTTCTTCTTTTCCTAAAATTACTTAGAGTGATCAAATACAATTTGAATAATACTTTAATGAAAATACAACCATAATTCAAATAAATATTTATAAATATATTTCATATTATTCATGATTAAATTGGTATATTATCCAATAATTTTATTTTAGATTCCCAACCAACACCCACACATGGATATAATTCTTTTGATGTATCTATATCCAACTACTAATAATCGATATTATATTTACAACAATAAATGTTAATTATGGATTATTCAATCTACTCCATTTAATGTATTTATGTTCAATACATACTTCAATTATTATTATATCATTATTTTTAAATTTGAAAGATACTTATTTACTTTATAGATCATTGTTATGATGAGAATAAGTAATACCACTATTTGAGATTAAATATGTTCTATTATAATATAAATATATATCCATACCCAGTTTAATAACAAGAAGTATAATTATTTTTCTGCATAATTTCTCTAAATCCTATTCCAACCATAACATATGATCCACTTATCATTTAAAATGCAAATTATGTTTTCCCAGTCTTTGGAATTGCTTATTCACAATGACAATAATAATGATAACCGTTATTACTAGTATCTGCTAAAACTTTTCCATCTACACTTAGTTAACAATAATTATGCCTATAAGTATCTGAAAATGATAATGATTTGCTAAATAATTGAATCTAAATATAATTTAATAAATTGATTATAAATATACTTTTTCTAATTCGATTTTTATTCAATTTTTCTTATTCTAACTTAACTTTATTAATTTACTCAAGTTTGGTTAATGTTTCTTATAATTCTGATATTTTTTAACTTAAATTTTGATTAAATTCCTATTTTATATTATTTTCTATGATAAAATAATATCAAAATCTATTACATTCATCTTCGAATTTATTCATCATTTCTTATTTCTCCTACTCATATTACTTTTTATTATCTTTAATTGTTTATTCATATTATTCTTTCATATTTTTTTATTCTTTTTACTTTTATTCTAATGTTTGATTTATCTCATTGAATTTTTAATTAAACGACTCTTACATTGAATTAACTAAATTATTTTCTATATAAAATTATATAGCATTACTTTCAGTTTCCAAATTTTTATTAGATTCTGTTAATTTTATTACATCATTCTCCAACTATTTGATGCTATTCTCTAACTATTTAATGCTACTATATTTTTTCAATTCTATGCTATGATTATCAAATGTATTTGCATATTCATTCAAAATATTCAATAGTTTAGAATATTAGGACTTTAATTATTCTGATTTCACTGTTTGATCTTACTATTTAAGCTAAATATTTTAGAGATTTTTTTCTATATTCTAAACAAGTTATTAATAAACTGTAATAGTCTAATAAAAAAGATTTAATTAGCATTGATATTTTTTAGCTTAATCAATTAATTCTTAAATATCTTTGATAAAATTAATTTGGTTTTTGTAGTTTTCATCCTTTTAACTACATTTTAAAATTTCTTATATCATATCAGTTAGTTAATTAATTAAACTCTTTTCAACTATAAACAATTTAGTAAATTTATACTTGAAATATCCTTTATTATATCCAATGATGCTTAAATATCTTGTTAATCATATTATTGTAAAGATTCTAAATGATATTAAATATCTTTTTTGAAAATTGAGTCTTTATTAATTTAATTTGTAATTATTTGGCTTTATGATACTTTTTCTTTATCCTTATCAATTAACTACTTTAAATCCTTCAACAATTATTCATCACCTAATGCTTATAGTGATATATTTTTTATTTAATTTGATTATTTTGTTTTATCCATACATAAAAATTATTCTGAAATTAATTTATCACTTATTTCATCTAATTTTTTATTGTAATTCTTTCTCATTAATGCTATTTAGTTAAATAATTCAGATTTTTTTTTTTTGCCATCATTTTTGTATTCCTTTAAAATTCTATCAGTTTCCGTGTAATATTCCTTCCATTATTTATCCACATTTTCAATTGTTTAATACTTTGTATTTGGATTCTCAGAAATGCAATCAACACATACAAATCTATCTTCAATTTTTTTATCTTAAGATTCCATATCAATCATAATTATTTCCTTTTTATGATTACTACAAATTCTACTTAAACTTGGTGTTTTCTATTTATATTATATATAAGATACCGAATCATTTTTTATTATAAATTAAGGAATTAATTAAATTACATTATTTTCCATAATGTCTTTAATTTTTTCTTTTGTAATCTTAAATGTATCTAACGTCTAAAAGTATTCAGAGCTATTGAATAAAAGTTCAAATTGTCTTTATATTTCATTAATAAAATGATTATCCTCTATTAATTTTGGTGATTTCTATTACTCTTAAGAATACAATTCAGATAATTATTTTATATCCTCAAAGTAATTTAGTTATTATTCATATTCTTATAATTCTTATTTTTCTTTTTAAATTGGGAATATGTATTATTATATTTATTTATACATCTTCTCCAAAGAATCATCAATGGATTATTTGAAATCCATAATTTGATCTAAAATGTTTTTATAATAGTTGAGTCTTGCTTGATTCTCTTTAGATTTGATATCTTTTTATTAAATCTTAATTTATTAGATTCTCTCCTTAGATTACTCAATAGTGGTTATTTAAGAGTTATTAATTTTCTCAACTAAACATTTGCCACAAAAGAATTATATTTATGCCTTATCTGATAAGTTTAGATCAACTGCAATTAATTCTTGATTATGAGATTTACATATTGTTTCGGATGCTTCTTGTTCTTATTTTTGAGTTAAGCTATTCATATTTATTATTTAAATTAATTAATGTAAGTATATGTCATTGAATCACCCTTAGTCTTTCATAATTCTATTATAATTCTATCATTTAATTTATATAAATATCTTTATTATAGTATATTTTTTAAGTATTATAAATTACAAAGTAACAATAATATTAATAAGAAATTACGCTAAAATATAAAAACAGATGTTTGCAAAGATCAACAGTAAAAAAAAAGCTTATAAAATTTATATATATTATTTGAAATTATGGATCTATCTTATTTTAAATTCTAAAGGCTCTAATTCATTAAGAGTACCTTTAAAGTGCCAATTGCTATTAATCTTTCAAATATTTAGAATTTCACTGTAAAATATATCAATAAAAATAGAAGTTTAGCAAACGAGTAAATTATTTTTTGTTTTTCTGATTTATTCAACTTCCCATTAGTGAATACCAATTTGAATATTTTATATTTATGGTCTTATTGATTATTTATGTTTATTAGTTGTGGAGTTTAGTTGTTTCTGTCATGAAAGAGTAATATGAAGGATCATTAATTCAATGTTGATTGTTTTTAGAATGTCCTTTATTGATTTTTCCTGTCTATGAGGAATTGATTTCTCAGAATAATTTAGTAATTGTGACTAATAGTGAGCCTATCTGGATTAAAAATCGTGTCTATTTAATTTGTTTCCGTTAACATATTTTCTTTTATCATTAATCTTAATATAAATTTACTAAAATATCAAACTTTTAACTTAAATTTTTAATATTTTTAATATTTATATATTTAATTATCCTATCATTTTTACTTTTACTAAATCTTTTAGATTTTGATTGTCCCATTTAACTTTTCTTTTAAAAATTTATAGAAATTATAAATTACATGATTTTAAATCAATAAAATCGATAAAAATAATTTTGAACTAAAATATATTGTATGAGTAATTACAAGTATATTAAGAGATATTAAAATTTAAATCTTAAATGACAGAAAATTAAACAACATACTATAAAGAATATATTTTAATATTTCTATATTTTTCAGATTGGTAAGTGTAATCCTAGCTTATGCTGCTAAGGAATTAACTAATTCATATTTATCAATTAACTTATTTCAACTGAATTCTTTTAACTTCTCAGTTGGATAAATTCTTATTATTATTAAAATACCATAACAATAATTAGTAAAAAAAATTGTGGATTATCAAGAATAAGATAGTAGAATAAAAATTTATTTATATATCCTTTATTCAATAATGAAAATACAAAACTATACGTATCAGTGTCTTAGGAGCTTTGATGATTTTAAAAATACAATTTTAATTAATACCAATTAATTTTTATTGGTTTTAATAAGAATTTACATTGTCTTTGAATGAAATGTAGTCTGCTTATCAAATGTACTAATTTAAATAACAAAATATACTTTTACAAGATCTTAAATTTGAAAATAGCTTTAAAGAGGTATTATATTAATAGTTTAATTTAGTAAATATAAAATTATATTTTCTTTCTATTTGATTTGATGATTATAATTTTTTTCTTAAAAATAAGTCTCATTCAAATATATTTTAATATTCATTCAAAATTAGTCAATTTTTAATTTTTGAGTTTATTTGATTAATTACCAAGATATACTTTCACTTTATTAAAAAAACAATAATTCTATAAAACTCCTAAAGTTGTGTAAAAGTTCAAAAGTAATTAAATGTAAATTAATTTCAAATTAATGATTGAAGGATTACCATCTGTGATTTGAAATTAGTCATATACAAATCTTCCTTATTATTAGAAAATCATTAGGTTATTAGACATTGTCTCATAACTGGTTTAATGGTGTGGGGTTATCCTATTATAGGCTGAATCAAGTTGACTTGAGTTCGATCCTAAGACAAGTTTAATTATTTTAATAATTTATTCTTAATTATTATTTTAACTTGTGCTCTATATTTAGTGGTCAATTAAGATTAGTCGCTCATAAAGAATTCGAATTCCTAATACAGAGGAATCTATTTAAATCCCCTTAGCATTAAGAGCTAAACATATCGATGATAATTATTAGATATGTTGAGGATTATCCCTTAAAAATTTAGAGAGACGATTAGAGATTCTCGTGACCCCATTATTATACTAACCTATATTATAAATACCAAAAATCTTCCTAAATTCAACAATTCCAATAACTTGTGGTCTTAGATTAGTTAAAGAAGTGGAGACAGATCTTCTTTCATCAAAATATCTTCCTCTTATTTTGGTGATTTTGACCCCTGATTATAGGCTAATTTCTTTGAGATAGGCCTCCTGTTCCCCTTTGGACTTTAAAAATTTTTTCGTTTTTTAACAAATTAATCGATCAGCTTAAGCCTTGATCCAAATTGAATCTAAATCCAAAAATCAGACTCAAATCAAGTATAAACAGGTGAGCGAATTTATTACATTTAGGTAAGACTAATTTTAGTAAATTATCAGTTTTAATGAAAGTTAATCAATATGATCTTTTAGTAGGATTTTTAGGTTAATTAGTATTCCATTCAATATTTATATTTCTAAAAGAATGAAATAAATTTTAAGTTAAATTATCTAATTTTATAGAATACTGAAATATTAAATAATATTTTAATTAAATAATTATTGCATCAATTGGGTGACATAAAGATATCAAGATGCATTTCAGGATATATGAACTATAATAATAAAAATATTTAATCTGAATTAACAAAATAGAGAATTATGAATTTATTTAGGAGCAAAGTTACTACTAAATAAGGCTTATGTAAATTAAAATTTCACGTAGCTTGTAATATAATAAATATCTTTTGAAAGATTTTCTTTTTTTATATAAACTCTTAGATTTACCGAAAAATTAGCCTCATAATCCAAACCATTAAAATTTATTAAATTGAAAAAGAAGATCAAGAATTTTGTTTATAATATATCAATTAGATGTATAAATACTTATTTTTTAGGATTGAAATTTTCATATGATTTTTAATTTTATATATGGAATTTCAAATCAAAAAAGAGTTAAAAATACTATAATTGCATCTTTTCTAAAATCAAAATGTAAATTATAAATAAATCTATACAACATTCAACTCATTGATATTTGGAAGATTTTATCTCAATTAAACAAAAACTTTATTATCTTCAGTTAAAAAAAAAAAAAAAAATTATATAAAAATATTTCAAATATTAATTCGACCCTATCTAATTTTCTTTAAAATTAGGAATTAACATTATCCTTCAGTCTAGTTATGGCCACTTTTTATTCAATTTTAAGGGAACATAATTTGTATTTAATATTTGATATTATCTTCTAATTATTGACAACCTAAGTTTGAAAAGCTTTTTAGAAATCTAAATATCAACCTAATTCTACTATTAAATTAAATGGAACCTTTTGGAAAACAATGTTTATTATTCATAGAATCATCAATCTTTAAACTATTAATATAAGTAAAATTAGTTTTTTCATACAATTAAAAGAATTATTTATCCTAACACTTAAAAAGATTAATATAAATTTAGAATATTTCTTATTTTGCTTTAATCTAGTGTTTCTTTTTTTTGAGGTTTAGAACAATTTTAATCTTCATATTCCATTTACCCTTCTTTGTAAAATTTTCAGCGTCTATTCCCTTCAAGTAATTAAACAAGAATTAGCCATATTCTCTTAAAATGACATGATGAGACTATTTTTACAGCTTAACGCTTAATATTAAATGCTATTTAGAATATTTCTTAAAATGATGTGTTAATTTTAAATATGTAAAAGTAAATTTATATTTTGACACAATCNAGGATTTTTAGGTTAATTAGTATTCCATTCAATATTTATATTTCTAAAAGAATGAAATAAATTTTAAGTTAAATTATCTAATTTTATAGAATACTGAAATATTAAATAATATTTTAATTAAATAATTATTGCATCAATTGGGTGACATAAAGATATCAAGATGCATTTCAGGATATATGAACTATAATAATAAAAATATTTAATCTGAATTAACAAAATAGAGAATTATGAATTTATTTAGGAGCAAAGTTACTACTAAATAAGGCTTATGTAAATTAAAATTTCACGTAGCTTGTAATATAATAAATATCTTTTGAAAGATTTTCTTTTTTTATATAAACTCTTAGATTTACCGAAAAATTAGCCTCATAATCCAAACCATTAAAATTTATTAAATTGAAAAAGAAGATCAAGAATTTTGTTTATAATATATCAATTAGATGTATAAATACTTATTTTTTAGGATTGAAATTTTCATATGATTTTTAATTTTATATATGGAATTTCAAATCAAAAAAGAGTTAAAAATACTATAATTGCATCTTTTCTAAAATCAAAATGTAAATTATAAATAAATCTATACAACATTCAACTCATTGATATTTGGAAGATTTTATCTCAATTAAACAAAAACTTTATTATCTTCAGTTAAAAAAAAAAAAAAAAATTATATAAAAATATTTCAAATATTAATTCGACCCTATCTAATTTTCTTTAAAATTAGGAATTAACATTATCCTTCAGTCTAGTTATGGCCACTTTTTATTCAATTTTAAGGGAACATAATTTGTATTTAATATTTGATATTATCTTCTAATTATTGACAACCTAAGTTTGAAAAGCTTTTTAGAAATCTAAATATCAACCTAATTCTACTATTAAATTAAATGGAACCTTTTGGAAAACAATGTTTATTATTCATAGAATCATCAATCTTTAAACTATTAATATAAGTAAAATTAGTTTTTTCATACAATTAAAAGAATTATTTATCCTAACACTTAAAAAGATTAATATAAATTTAGAATATTTCTTATTTTGCTTTAATCTAGTGTTTCTTTTTTTTGAGGTTTAGAACAATTTTAATCTTCATATTCCATTTACCCTTCTTTGTAAAATTTTCAGCGTCTATTCCCTTCAAGTAATTAAACAAGAATTAGCCATATTCTCTTAAAATGACATGATGAGACTATTTTTACAGCTTAACGCTTAATATTAAATGCTATTTAGAATATTTCTTAAAATGATGTGTTAATTTTAAATATGTAAAAGTAAATTTATATTTTGACACAATCTTAGTCTCATAACAAAATACACGCTCATGTTATAGAGATTATTTTAACTAAAGTAATATATCAATTCTTATTTTAGATATACTTTATCATTAATATGATTTATTTATATTTGATATTCATTTTTATAAAGAATGAACCCTATTTTTAATGAGCCCAATCTCAAAAAAATAAATTAAAATATGATTAGACAACAGTAGGAAATGATTATCAGTAAAGGCATCAATAAACATGATAATCAAAAATACAATTATATAACCAATTTTTACATTCAATTTAATTAGTGTCCTTTGTTTACATTCTCATTCTTATGATTAATTAGAATAATTTACATCAATAAGTAAAGAAAATCTATAGAGTTCTTTGATAGCTGAAATTTGAGTTTAGCTTACTTGAATAATAATAAAAATCCAACAATCAGCTTAGTATTGAGATATTATTTAATACCTCACAAATAATAATGAATTTTAAGAAATTAAGAAATAATTGTTGTTATTATCATTTGAACCATAGCAATTATGAAGAAAATTCAATTCTTAATTTTGATATATTTAAAACTTATTCTATTTTTGTTCATTTTGATTTTTGTATTTTAGAAACTAAGGTAAATTTTATAAATACATACATTAAGGTGAGCAACTTTAACATCAAGTATAAGTTAGAAATTATCCCCCATAATATTTTGAATCTTTTAATTTCACTGTAATTCCATCTTGTATACTAATAGATTTTATAAAAAATGGAACATCTTTAAAAAGAAGAGTTTATTTGCAAGAAAAAAAAATACTAAATTTTGAATCTTGAAAATCACATTTGCTGTAAAAATCCACACAAGAATTTAAGATTACAATCCATACCTTAGTTCCCATGATTCTGTATTACAATAAATTATTACTAGAGTTTATTCTAAATCACTTTATAGAGAAATCTTAATTCTGGTCTTACCATTTAATAATTAATATTAAAATTTAGACTCAAAAATAATAAAACCTAAGTTGTTTGTTGTGTCCCTTCAAAGGACCCTATTTTAATGAATATTCTATATATCCTCTGTCATAACTTAAAATGGCTCATTGTTTTAAGAATGTAATTTCCCTGTTGTGAAATTTAATTTCTCCCTTAAGGATAGAGTAATTATAATGTAACTTTGCCATGGCTACCTGCAAATTGCCCCATAAATCCTTAAGAATAATTATTAACCTGTTATTAATTCCAAAGGTGAGTGTAAAACTATGCTCCTTAAGGCTCAACTCAATTAAACAAATATGATCGGATATGCAAAGAGGATTTTATAAAATTTATGCCAAAATAAATTCATATAATTACCATAAATGATAAACATCTCTTACATTTACAATTATATCAGTTAATTAAAACGTTCTTTAAAAAACGAGAACAATATTATTTCTTTCAAAGGTTTATGTTTAAGACATAAATATCTCATAAAATTGACATAAAATTAAAAAAAGGAATTATAAATTATACTTTATCAATAGGTATAAAAATGATGGCAAGAGTAGGAATATTCACATAATTTATGGATTTATTTTTTTTTAATCAATCTTTTTTAATTTCTTTCTTATGAAAATATATAATAAATGTTATATATATTATTCTAATAATAATCATCAAGAAATGGAAAATTATAATTCTCCCTTTCATCTTTTATATTCCAAATGATTGAAATTATAAAAAAAGTGTAGAAATATTATTTTCATTTAGTAAC